CACAATTTTTCGGGTTCTCGACAAATATTTATTTAGATTTGACCACTCAAGTGGAACATATTTACATTTAATTCACAGTTACTTGTGAACAGTGATGTGGGATACTTGATATTGATTTATTTGAACTGACTATCATTCGGACTTCACCTTCACTCACAATTCTCAGTTTATTGATTTAATCATACCCCCGGAAGGGGAAAGTTGCTAAGTCGTAATCTGTAAAAGTACTCGATTGGGCGGTGGTGACCTGGTTCGTAACGTAACCAAATTCACACTGAGGACGTGTGTTCGAATCCCACCACCATCACCTGACTTTTCCCATTTGTGTATGTTGAATGGCAGCCCTTTGATTGGCCGCTTCTCCCTCACCCCCTCCCCTTTGCATATTCAATGACAGGAAGTAAAATGAAGAAAAGAGTAAAAGATAGTAGACAGCTTCACTGACCTCNAGCATCCTTCGGCCTCTGGGTATAACATACCACAATCTCATGTTCGACTGCTCGGTAAGATTGGCAATTAACTCGTGAAGTTCTCATGTCTAGTTCAGTTCGAATTTTGCTGCTGAAACGTTTTCTCGATTATGTTCCGGTTCGGTAATCAAGTGAGCACCGAGTTACGCGACGTAAGCTAATAAAAGGCAACCTCAAACATTGATTGAAAATTCACTGTTTCCCAAATGGCAGTTTACGACAAATGGGTAGAAGAGCGGTAAACATATTGTGCCAGTGGTCGACCCAAGCAGGGGTTCACAGTTAACGTGTTTTCAGTGTAATCAAAATTAGGGTGTGTGAGTTTGAATGAAGGATTTCATACATAGAACAGAACCAGTTGGGGTCAACTCGTGCAAAATAGCCTTTCAGATGATGCCTGGATAGGTAAGCTGCAATAGAACGAGGTTAAGTTTCACCAAGTGGAACACAATGGTCGATTCACCAAGAACAATAGCCTAAATTTGTTGATAAAAGGTAATTCTGCTCAGTATAAACATATTTTGGTCAAATTGCATACGAACGATCGATACAAGGTCTAGACAAAGACCCTATAACTAAAATATTGCACACCGCAGTATTACGGGATAGTTTCACTCCAGTTTACACACCCCATTTGTGCCAACGTAGACAGTAACCGAATCAGAAATTCAACAAATTGTATTGCATTTCAACCAAAATATACCGAAACTCCCAATTGTCACTGAGTGAAATATTTCAAACCCAGGATGAGACGAGCCCGACATAGTTCAAAAGCAGATGAGCTGTCCAGCGCGCTTTTATACTTGGGCGAGGCAACGGATGACCGTGCTGAGCTGGCAATCGAGAGGCTGGTGCAGGGCATGGATATGTAACACGACTCAGATCATTCGTAATGACCATGTGAGAAGAAGCTTACGGATCTCGATAGATTCTGATTATAGGCTTTTTTATTTTGTCGATTTCAGCACACATATAAGGTTTAAAGACTGTATAACAGGTCCAGATTCACTGTGTCACGATTTGTGAGGCAGAAGTTCGTACAACCTAGTCAAAACTAGTTGGATAAAAGGCAGGGCATTTTGAGAAAGAGGATGGCAGGTTGGCACACGACCTCAAACTCCGTGAGTGGATAAAAAGGTCAAGTGAGTTAAACTTTTCGAAGTAACAAGAAGCAAAACGAACGCTTCAAACAACCAGCTAAATCCATCCAATGAAGTGTACCCCCAATCAAAAAGGGGAGACTTACTTTTCTTGCAAAGGCAAATTGGATGCACCCGTGCCGTTGGCCGTGGACTTGACTAAATCCATTTTGCTAGAATCTGTTTGAGGTAGACTAAGTGCATTGTTGGCTGTCATGACCATACTGGTCAGGCACGATTCGAGCTCTTTTGCTCCTGCAGACCAATACTGATTTTTTGCAACATCTGAGGCCAGATCCATTGTGTTCAATTTGTACGGATCGGAAGTGAGAGTTCGAAGAGGCAAACTAGTGTCCATCGCACTCGCCGTGGACAGTCCATCCAGCACATTACCATACATATTCAACTGGGGCAAACAGTCTAATTTGGTCCCAAAAGGTACCGAACTGGCCGCGCTAAAATTGGCCGGCCAGCCGGGGAAAACGGACAAATTGGACAGACTGCTCGCGATCGTGGGTGTCACATTCAACGGTCCGGAGAGCAGAGTTGATCGCGATGACTCGTCGCCGAAACTGGTCGGTATTAACATGGATCCGGCTTTGGAAACGTTCGAGTTCATCTGAAGTTTTCAAGAAAGGAGGGTACAGAATCATAAAATGACGTCCCAGTATTATTCACCTTAATTAAATATCTGCATACAATATTTGGTGGTCAGTCTGGCATATCAGGTATCACTATCGTGTAAGATTTTCATGTGGCCGAGATTACTGAGGCTGAAAAATGCAATCGGCCTAACATAATTTTCAAAGAAAATTTTCCACACACGCAGAACCGAACTTTGGTCTCCAAACCATTGAAAAGTGATAGCATTCGAACTGTGCTTCTCATGACTCGCTACGTTAATGAATTAATCACTCCTAGAGAGATTTTATACAGGCTGGATGGCTCCAGTCGATTCAATAGAGCATAGGCACTGAGCATAGAGTTCATCGCTGCCTCCAAGTTTCAGTTTCACCAGATCACCCAGCCAGGCGATTTATTTGCAAATGTTTCATCGCCAACCAAGGTGACTTAGTCAGTGCTTGTGAAATATCATCACATGTTGCATAACATTTAAATGCAATAAAAATTCATTTCCAGTGCAGAATAGCTGGATTTTACCCCAGTTCCGAAAATCACAGCGGTGTGAACTAATTTTATGTCCCTGTCGGGACTCGAACCAGGGATCTTTCTGAAGAACTCAACATTGAAAATGTACTGAGATTTTTAGTTTTTCTATATTCCAGATTATTCTCCAGATATATTCTAGATAAAGTGTGGAGCAAAAATCTCATGGGTCGGTCAACTTAAAAAAAAGATTTGTTTTCGATAAACAGTTGAACAACAAATGTCTTGAATACTCAATCTAAACAGACCAGATAAAGTGAAACAAACCTTCACTCAGTACAATAAGAAGTACCCAACGACCCACAAAAATAGCATGAGTATAGTTGTTTAATATATATGTACGTACAAATATTTTATTTTTCTCATACTACTCTCTCTCTCTCTCATTGAGTTCCGTTTGATTTCAGTTTGATGAGCAAAAAGTGCTCAGTGAACCAGCATACACACACACACAAACACGAGAGACCGAGAGTGCGCGAGAGCTTACCGAATGAAGCCGATTCGAGTGAGTCGGTTCTTTGCCCCACGAACACTTGCATGATTGATTCCCGACCAGACGACCGTGCATCGTCACAATGGCTCGTGTGGCAGCTGCATGCGTATCAAATCTGGCATCATCAGGAGACGAAGTTCACAAGAACGAGAGCGAGAGAGACAGGGAGGGAGAGGAAGAGTGCGGAAAAACAGATAAAAGCTCAGTACACTCGGAAATCGATTTTCTTATTGTTATTTCACTGGTTCCGTGGAATGACTGTTAAACCACTTGAATTTCACTAATTATTGATTGTTCCACTCCGATCGAATCTTCGTTAGATTTGTTGGATTGATTCCCCATTCGGTATCAAAAAGACTGACAACAACTTTCTTCACTCACCGCTTCCCGATCGTGGTTGTTAAAATAAGAATGAGCTAAATTTGACAATTTGTAATTCAAGTGGAGAGGGGAGTAATTTTTAAAGTTAGAACCGAAGGAAGACAAATACTGCGAGATTTCTGTTTATCTCTTCAGTAGCTACAACGTAAAACAACCTGGTATTTATACAAGTAAGTTTTGATAACCACAGTGGTAAAACGGACAATAGTCAGGGAAGCGGGGGG